ATCTATCTATCTATCTATCTATCTATCTATCTATCTATATATATATATATATAGATAGATATAGATATAGATATAGACTGTCTGAATATTAAACTGCAAAAAGACGATTTGAATATGAATGTTCTGCATGTTCATTTGATTACCGAAAATACACAACACAGAGTTTGTGAAAAAAAAAAAAAAGATTATTTATTCATTTTAGATGTTTAAATTTGGAAAAGCTGTGCTTCCTGCATAAACCTGCCACTGTTGGTTTGGCAGTAGCTTGCTTGCCCTACACAGTTACCTTGTTTAATTTCTTAATTCAAGTTTTATATATTGTGTTCTATTTGTGTTAAGTTATTTGTAATAAGTGAAGTGAAGTTTACTGTTAAGTGCACTTATGTCAGACTCATTTTGAGTAATAAAGTTTATTAAATTGTTAAATACCCTGCCTCCACTACATATGCCTATGTTTGTCACATCATTATAAGTGTTTGATCACCACATATGAGTTATCATTGCAAAAAATGTGTTTGTATATATATATTCTGTTTATGTAAGCTATATACTGTATTCTATATACAGTACCAGTCAAAAGTTTGGACACACGAATGGGAAGTGTGTCCAAACTTTTGACTATACTGTACTATAATATAGCCTACACATAAAGACTGTGTGATGTCTTTTTTTACTCCCTAATATCGGTATCGGCATCGGCCCCCAAAAAAACAATATCGGTCGGGCTCTACTTGACTCTAAAAGACATGTAATAAATAAATTGATGAAAGGTAGCTCATATGAGATGGTTCTTTTCAGTGAATCAATTGAACTGATTCACATTTGCATCCTAATTATTTATGATTGAATTGATTTGAAATGCTAAAAAGATGTCATAAAGCTTGACTCAAAAGTCCTTGAGACACTAATCTTGTCCGAATGGCGTTTCTGACAGTATTTGCAGGAAGTGAGAGTGCTTAAAGCACACAGTGCTCAGCTGTGTGAGTTCACATACATTCAGGGAATCATGTCTTGTGTAGCTCAGAGTATCAGAATGTCTTAGCGAACAACAAACAGACTCTGCATTAATGGCTCCTGTGTGTGACTCCATTCCATGTGATTGTCTGCCTCACTCTGTGGCACAAATGTGTGTTATGGGGTCAGCAATGCAACCCAGTGTGTCACAAATTATCCAGCACATCCACCAGAGGAATGAAGAGAAAGATGAACAGAGAGAGAGAGAGACTTGCATTTTTCCTCCTCACTTCTTTTGCTCATCCTTTCTGCATCATTGAGTGGAAAAGTACAAACAATGTTAGAATGCCCGTCAGCAGGCCCACCGGCCAAGCACGTGGTCCTGGCAACCCTGTTACGTTACCGGCCAATGAAAGCTGGCAGTGTGACATCATAGGGATGGGGATGTGTTGCTAAACAAGAAACAAAGAGTGAGTGTTTGTATATAGACAAACAAACACGCAAACAGCTCTGGGGACAGAGTTTTGCGTGTGTCCTTCTCTCTCATCCTCTGAGTGTGTGAAAGTTTGTGTTTTATTATTGAGATGCGGGAGTTGCTAGGTGTGACCCTGCTTTCTCCTCTGAAAAACTCATTAAATTTCACAGGGTTTTTTTTTTATTCATCCTCCTATTATTGTTTGAACTTCTCTTGCCTCATCGTGGTTTCTCCAGCAACCTGTGGGTGATGAGGGCAGGGATTTCCTGAGCGGGGTTGACATGTGACACACACACACACACACACACACACACACACACACACACACAGTTTTTCCAGTCGTTCTGCATTGATGTCTAGATTGAAAAATGTGATTTGCACATTAATCCACATATGCAATGCAATCTTTATCTGTGCTCAAGAAAAACAGTGTGTCAGTGCACTTATCAGTGCATCTGAATGCTTTAGAATGTCACTGTTATGAAATAATATTGATGATGATTTTTGGTATTTCTGTACGGGTTAGGTTTTCCAGAAAAAAATCATTGTCTATGGACAGTCCTCATAAAATGCAAAAACCCAACATGAGCGTTTGTGTGTTGTTTTTTGGCCTTGTTAAACTACTGAAGCCATCAGTCAAATTAAGGAAATGTGTTCACAAAATAAATAGTCCATTTTGATTGCATGTTGACTTTTAAATGTGCTGAGACAACTATAAGTAAGCCATTCATAGATGAGTCCAAAGTCTAAAGCTGTGGCTCTGTGGCACTATTAAAAATAGTTTAATTTCTCTGAGTGGTCCAACATAGCAACGTCCAACGGTAATTATAATAAGATGTTTAGCTGGAAGCTGACAAGTTTGTCCCAAAAAATGGCAGACAGGCAGTGAGGCTGCATATATTATACCAGGGATGTGGTTTAGTGTGGAAAATCAGTTTTGAGTTGCTATTAATTTCTATGAGGAAGTTTGTGTGCTTTTTCTTTTGAGAAAGCTCTTGAAAAAGTAATTATCAGCAACTGGATCAATATTGTCTGAGCACATAGTTAATACATATATTAGCCCCGAATTTGGTAAACCATGACTTTTAACCTTTAATGAATAACTCTTTAGTGTTTTAATGCCAATAGATTTACATTTTGTCTTCAGATTTTTCAGTGCAAATTTCTGCTTGAGCACTTACTGAAGTTTATAACCTATTCATTGTGCATTCAAAATGCTTTGTAATGCTACATAACTGTCTCTCTTTCTTGACAGCCTCTGTCCCTGTCAGCAACAGCAGTGTGAATAGGCGAGGAACATCCCCCTCAGCCCCGGCCAGCTGGGAGAAGCGTAGCATCCACCTCGCCACCATGTCCAGCATCACCATCGACCCCGAGCTCAAGCCTGGGGAGTTTGTCATCAAGAGCCTCTTCGCAGAGTTCGCTGTGCTCGCCGAGAAGAAGATCGAGGTGGTCATGGCTGAACCACTGGTGAGTATTGCCCAAAAATTAATAGAGAAAACGGAACATTTAATGAAAAATATTTTTTTCTAGCGAATATATAAATACAGTAATAAAAATAAGAAAATTTGTTTGTGTTGGGTCCAGTGAAATGTTAGCAGGTAGGTAAAAATCCATTCGAGCAGAACAAAGCCTTACATTTGAGCTCTGGTAATATAAATAGATTGTATTCAGGGTTTGAAATTAACACCCGCCAAATGCGGGTAAAAATCAGCTGTGGCGGGTAACGCTGTCAAATCACTAGCCAATTTGACGGGTTACTTTTCGTAAATTATGTTTACTAATTAATTTCTTGAGGAAGTTCATGTAAGCCAAATCTGCACAGATTTAGTGTAAATACTGAACTCGAGACTCATCATGATATATTAAATAAGCCTAATTGCGCAGCATCTGGGCATCTAGCTTACTTGAACATACCCAGAGATGTAGCCACTAGCCATCGGGAGCACCGGGACATTCTCGGTGGGTCGATCGCCGAAGCGAGGGAGACCTTATATTAGGCGCTGTTTTTAAATTACAGCCCACGCGAAACTGCAAAAAACAAGTACTCCAAAAGTGTGAAGCGACGCTACCCGGTGCATCTGCCAGCCACGCGTTAAAGCAGAGCGGGATCAGTCTCCTGCACAGCGCTGCGCTTCCGCCACGATTTATAAGAGATTTACAAATCGCTCGATCCATTCAGAAATGACACAGAATTGTGTTATACAGTTGTGTGATATGACAACATTAAAGGTTCTGTCTGAAAACAGCCACGACAAGGTCAAATGCATGTAAACAAACTGCAGTGTAAACCAACTTTAATAGCTTATTTCTCTTTAAATGTTTCATTTTAAAGTAAAATGTTAATTCAGTAAGAGCCTGATTAAAGATAAAAATCAGTGTCTCTGTAATTTAAAAACACTTATAAATGAGGTGTTTTCCATTTACAAATATTATAAAGTTCTTAAAGGGATAGTTCACCTAAAAATTTAAACTGTCTTCATTTAGGCTACTCAGCATCATGTCATTCAAGATATTTTAAGAAATTCAAGAAATGTTTGTCCATACAGTAGAAATCAAGAGTAACCAAAATGGTTTGGTAACATTCTATAAAATATCTTTTGTGTTTTACAGAAGAAAGTAAGTCATACAGGTTTGGAAAGACATGAGGGTGAGGAAAGGATGACAGCATTTATTAGCAGTAAATGTCCTATGTTCTAGCACAAAATCAATGTTTATACTGTCAAGTGCATTTCTATGTGACAAAAATGCAATAGGCTATTAGTTTGCTGCATTTGCTGTGAATTCAGTAATATATAATTATTTGTTTTTGTCCTCATTTATTTATTTATTTACTTACTCCAATTGAAGGCCCTATAACACAGGAAAACATTCACAGGGGAACTTGAGGGCCGGACAGGCTGGATTTGTCCAGGGCCGAATTTTAAGCCCAGTCCAGCCCTGTACGCGTCACTACGCAACAAATAATGGCATGGCGGGCGCACTGGTTTTCTTTGCATTGAAGCAATAACGAAAAATAAAAAAATGCCTGAAGACTCGCACTGTCTCTACACCAGATGCAACAAAATACTATAGAACCCATTATAATCGGTGATGCAGCCTACACTGGATGTGGCGCAGCACAGCACGACAAATCCCCGACAGTAAACTGATGCCTCATTCTATTTATGATGTAGGCCTACTGTTTGACAAAGTACAAATGATTTGCAATGATCACGTTGTCGCATCCAGTGTGGACGGCCTCAAGCTTTTGGCTTACCTCCGGCCTTTTTTTCACAATTTTTTTTGTTAAATTCTTTTGGCTAGTAGAAATTATGAATGGCCGGTTACTTAAAAATTTAGTAGCCAAATTGGCTGGTGAGTGAAAGTTAATTTCAAACCCTGATTGTATTGCATTTAATATAATGATTTTTTAAAATTATTTAATTAAAAAAGGATGCATTTGATGCATAAATTGATTAAAATTGACAGTAAAGACATTTTAAATTGTAAAAAGATTTCTAACCCTAACCCTTCTATATCAAATAAAAGATGAAGATTGGTTTTGTGTTACCCGTTACCTCAGGGATTGAGGTGAAAGGTCAGTTGTGCTTTGAGACATGTTGATTTATTTCGAGAAAAAGAGAGGCTGTTGTGTGTGTTTTCAAAGTTTGTGGCTGAACAGAACACACACACACATACACTTCCCCGTGTATTCCCAGAAACAGAAGCAGAGGTTTGGATTCTTGGAATGCTGTTCTGTTGGATTCTTCTCCGAGCCCCTCGTGCTGAAATACACACATTCTCTCTCTCCAGACTTGTCCTTGGATGCTTCCTCTCTGTCTCCTTGTGTGTTTACTCAGTGGTAGATTGAGCTCTCTCTCAGTTTACTCAGCAAGAGTTTAAACTGGTAATGACTGCATCAAGAGGCTGCAGAGAGAGGAGCGCTTCTATATCAAATAAAAGATGAAGATTGGTTTTGTGTTACCCGTTACCTCAGGGATTGAGGTGAAAGGTCAGTTGTGCTTTGAGACATGTTGATTTATTTCGAGAAAAAGAGAGGCTGTTGTGTGTGTTTTCAAAGTTTGTGGCTGAACAGAACAGAAACGGAAACAGAAACAGAAGCAGAGGTTTGGATTCTTGGAATGCTGTTCTGTTGGATTCTTCTCCGAGCCCCTCGTGCTGAAATACACACATTCTCTCTCTCCAGACTTGTCCTTGGATGCTTCCTCTCTGTCTCCTTGTGTGTTTACTCAGTGGTAGATTGAGCTCTCTCTCAGTTTACTCAGCAAGAGTTTAAACTGGTAATGACTGCATCAAGAGGCTGCAGAGAGAGGAGCTGCTTTATAAAACACTGATGTATAGCTCTCTGACTTAGAACTTCTTGCTCATAGTAAAGCGTTTGTTCTAGGGCTGTGCGATATTGAAGAAAAATGAGATACCTTGTTAAAAAATGCGATATTCGATATGCGATACGATATTGCTTAAAGTGTGTCAAATCGATTTCAATTATATTTTTAAATATTTAAAAAAGAAAATTATATAACCAATTTGTTTCACATTCTTACTTGGAAATGAAAGAATCACTACAACTTCTGAAAGTGACCAGCAGTGTTTTAGCAGTGCATAAGAAGTAATGTCACAAATCAGAAAATGCCATTTTAACATCAGTGTGAACATACAAAAAAAATAAATTAATGACACTAATTTTATATTATTGTAACTTTGCTTTCCATACACTTTAAGTACTTCTTCATATACCACAGCAAAAACTATAGTCTGAGAAAGTTCAAACATGATTAAAGGCAAGTGAATAGTCAGTTAAAAAAAAAAAGA